TATAATAGTAATGGATAATGCAAGTTATCACTCGAGACTTATAGAAAAAATGCCCACAACCAAGTGGTTAAAAAAAGATTTACAGAATTGGCTAAATTCAAAGAATATTAAGTTCCATCCCGGTTCTGTGAGAAAAGAACTGTATCATTTGTGTTCCCTTCATAAAGAGAAATTCAAAAAATATGAAATTGATGAAATTGCAAAAAATCGTGGGATGACGGTGGTTAGATCATCACCATATCATTGCGAAGTAAACCCGATTGAACTGATATGGGCACAGATAAAGGGAGAAGTTTCAAGAAAAAATAATTCTTTTAAAATGAGTGATGTCAAACAGTTGTTTTTGTGGGCTGTAAATAATGTGAAGCCTGAAAAATGGGAAAAGGCAGTAAATCATACGATTAAAGAAGAAGAGAAAATGTGGAAGTTGGACAATATTACTGATGAAATGATCGAGCCACTTATTGTAAATATTGGTTGCGACAGTTCATCTTCTGATTTCGATTCTGATTTCGATTCTGATTTCGATTCTGATTTCGATTCTGATTTCGATTCTGATTTCGATTCTGATTTCGATTCTGATTTCGATTCTGATTTCGATTCTGATTTCGATTCTGATTTGGATTTGTAGGTAAGAAGTAGTTATATTAAAATTATTATTTATGAACGTAACGTTGTTTAAAAGTCATAGTTTAAACCCTTATACCTACATAACCCGTTTGACACAATGTTCTTAACATACCTTGTGGAAAAATAAAACATTTTAGAAAAAATTGCACTTGATGATGTTGATACAAATCCTAGTAATTTCCTTAATATTAGTTATATATCTCAAGATCAAATTATCAACGCAGTTAATAAATTAAAAAATAAGTTATCCTGTGGTCCTAATAATGTTTGATCCAAACTGGTAAAAATTATATAGGTTTTTTGTCAGTTCCACTCTTAATCGTATACTACAAGAAGAGGCCTATTGAGACATTTGGAAAATATCTAGAATCTGTCCCGTTTTCAAAGTTGGTAAAGTTTCTGATATATCAAATTACAGACCAATCGCATTAATCTCAGTTTTTTCCAAAATGTTTGAAATTATATTTTCTAATATGTTATGTTACCACGTAAAAAATTCAATCACGGAATACCAACATGGTTTTGTGAAGCTCAGAAGTACCGCGTCAAATCTGTGTACATTTACGAAATACATATCTAGTTCTTAAGACTGTAGAAATCAAGTTGACGTCGCATACACAGATTTTAGTAAAGCGTTTGATAAGGTGTCTCACAAACAATTACTTCTGAAACTGAGACAATTTGGTGTTTCAAAGAGTATGCAGTCACTGTTAAAGTCTTTTTTAACTAATCGACAGTTATATGTTGAATACGAGAGTGCCAAATCTTTTAATTTCGTGTCAACGTCAGGAGTTCCTCAGGGCTCGAATTTGGGCCCATTATTATGTGTTATTGTATCAACTCTAAGAAACTTTAGTTTGCAGACGATATGAAAATGTATAGGGAAATAAAGGATACCTCAGATTGCATTGCTCTTCAAAACAACCTTGTCAACTTACATAACTGGTGTATCGTAAATAAACTATCTTATCAGTGAATACTAACAAATGCAAAGTCCTGTCCTTTTCCAGGAAAGTAAACACTGTCTTATATGATTATCAATTAGATAATCTTGTTATTCCCCGGATATATAATTACAAAGATTTATTTGACAACAAACTGACTTTTTCGGAACACATTGAAAACACTGTACAAAGTGCAACAAAAATCTTGGGATTTGTTATTAGAAACTGTAAAAAGTTTAAATCTTTAGAAGCCATCTTCTCTGTTTATTTTTCACTAGTTCGTAGCAAACTGGAGTATTGCAGTTGTGTTTGGAATACTAATCATTTAAAGTACATAAGTGCATTAGATTCTGTCCAAAGAAAATTTTTTAAATTTATTTACTTTAAAAACATGGCGTTATCCTATTCGTCACTATGACTATAATTTATTGTTAGAAGAATTCAGTTTTGTGAATCTGAGAAAAAGAAGAGAAATAGCAGATTTGATATTCATCAATACATTAATTAATATTTTTATAGATTCATCTTCTCTGCTGTCTCAATTTAATTTTCATATCACACGTATTACATCAAGATCAAATATAATATTTCATATTCAAGTGCCAAATTCACAATATCACTTTCACAGTCCTTTAACTACAATATGTAGAAGTGTCAATCACTATTCTGTTGATATATTTTTTCTAAAATTTTACCAATTTAGAGAGCAATGTTACAGATTGGTTTCAAATAAGGTAATTAGAATGTAATGTAGTTAAGTAAGTATTCTCAAACTTTGTATTTTTAAATATATTATATACTCCTGTAATTGGGCTGATAAAGCCTGTTGGATATTAATTAATAAATAAATAATTACCACCGAGGGACAACCACTGATTTAAACTTTCTACACCTACATTCTTTTGGCAGAAATAAATCCTTATAAATCCTCAAGTTTCCTTGTAAATCCTTATAAATTCTATGAAATCCTTTGAAATCCTCTGAAATCCTCTGAAATCCTCTGAAATCCTCATAAATCCTTCTTATATCCTTTAAATCCTTCACACTTTCCCGGAAATCCTTGTATGTATCGTTGTAAATGAAAGGTTATATTTAACAATGGCTATCTACATTTGCATCACATGATTATAAAACAGATTTACAAAACTAACTTTTGGGTAATATGAGGCGACCATATTTATATAACTGTAGACCAAGTTTATAGAATCTCAAATGCGATTTAAAAATCATTAGAAAACAAAGAAGTTCAGCTATCTTCCTCGATGTTGTGTAGGCTTTTGATAAAGTATGGCATGACGGCTTAAAACATAAACGGAATGTGCTACTTCCACAGCCATGCTCAGAGCTATTGGATTCAAACATTTCATTTAGATTCTTTAGAGTAAAAGAAGGTAAAGCATACTCTGAATTCAAAGTAAAGGAGGAGTACCACAGGCAAGCGTCCTGGGACCTTTATATCTGTTATACACTTGTTACATATCCCAACTAGAACAAGACACAATAGCTACATTTGCAGATGATACTGCCATTCTAGCGATAGGTAATGAATAAACTACAAACATCAGTTAATCAAATAAATAATTGGAACAAAAGATAACGTATTAAACTAAACAAACCAAATCTGTTAATATTAATTTTACTAATAAAACTGCGCAACGAATACCGATTAACATAAATAATACCCAGTTCCCTCATACTAACTCGGTAAAATATCTAGGTATTACATTAGATGCAAGACTTTGCTGGAAAGTCCATATTAAAAAGAATAGACAAGAGTTTGATACAAAATTCAAAGAAAGCTACTTGGTAGGCTTTCCAACATATAACAAAATTCTACTATATAAACAAGTTTTCAAACCAATTTGGACCTATGGCATTCAACTCTAGGGTTTTGCCAGCTACAGTATTATTCTAATAATCTAGAGATTCCAGAATAAAAGTATTAGAAATTAAAAATTAAAAAAAAAACGACTTCAAAATCGTGCAGATGCCATCACATCTTAACCGCCTCTGAGGTACCCCCTTACTAACAAAAAAAGAATCATATAAATCTGACAAGGTGGTAAAGCATTATCGCTAAACATTCATAAAAAATGAAGAGTTTGAGGATTTTCTCATGGACCCAATTATTAGATGTTGACCAAATTTATATGGGACCATCCCTAAAGTACCCCCTTTCTAACAAAAAAAGGATCATTGAAATCGGACACCGTGTTAAAGAATTATCGCTGAACATACATAAAAAAAATATTACGACGAATTGAGAACCTCCTCCTTTTTTGAAGTCTGTTAAAAATCAATAAACAAAACATAAAAAACATGAAAGCATCAATCTAGACCAGCCATATTCAACCTACGGCCATCGGGCCGCATGCGGCCCTTCAAGCTGTTTTGTGCGGCCCTCCAAGCTTTTTTGTGCAGCCCCAAACTCAATTATTAATAATTGAAATGGTTGACCTACAGTCCTGTCCTTGCGACTTTTCAAAGCTTTAGAAATTATTTAAAACAGATCCCTATCGTCACCCATTGGGTGACAACTCTAGTTATCACTCAAAATTATTGCGGCCCTCGTAGCATAACAAACAAATTTATGTGGCCCGAAAGAAAAAAAGGTTGAGTACATCTGATCTAGACCATAATGAAGCTAAGTAGGTATTCTTAATGTCTTCAATACATATAAACACCATTGACTTCCGATTCTGACGCCGTGGTATCAACACTGAAATGGCGGCGTCAGAATCGGTAGTCAGGTGTGAATGTCTCCGTCAAAATCCCTAACAAGAACAGTCATCGTGAAGTGAATATTGTCTGATGTGATCAGTTAGGTATCAAGTAGCAAGAATAGTGCGTCAAAATTTTTTGAATCTGTAAATTACAAATTGTCACATGGTGTGATGTGCATCCTGTGACGAAAAAAATTAATTTCCTTTAAAATATCCACCTATAATACAGAAAACTCCAATACAATTACCCTAGGCCGAATAGCCCTAGCAGCTGAGGCCTATAAAAATTGAATTGAAGAAGAAGACATATAAACACATATACCTATCTGCTGTCAATATTACTGTTTTTATTGCACACCATGGTATTAATTATTGATTGTTGTAACAACATCTTTATGTACCTACCTATATCCCTAAGGATAGCTAATGCCTGTAACAAAATTTTCAACAAACTTAGTATGTAGTATAGATTTTGTCATTTTATTATTATTCTTATAAAGTAATTGAACAGCTATCGAACTAATGGATAATCTTTCGTCTTAATTTTTTAATTTGTAAATAAACCTGTTAAGTATTGTAATATTATTCTTAAGAACATTGTAAACAAACATTTACTGCTCATAAATGTGGGTCGATACACCCTGTATAGGTATTTGCGATTCTTCAAGGTATTTTGGCGATCAGCTGTTCATTTTTATACCGCGTTTTTATTGCCAATGTCACTTTCAAATTGGAACTTGCCGTAGTCATGTCTGATACATCGTCCTTTTACGATACCAGTTACAGTGAAGACCAAAGAATAGGTAAGTTTTTAAACAAATATATTCCTCTGCCAAATAAATATATTTGTAGAATACATTTTGCAGTAAAAGTTAAACATAACAAATATTATTTATTGATTTATTTTCTCTAATTCTATAGACACACTATTATTGGTAGCTAAATAGTAATGGAAAAGAACTGTTAACGGTTTCAAATAAAAAAATGTTATTGTTATGTTATTTATACCTGTGTAAGTAGGGAATTTACTGATGTGTATAGATCAGTGGCGTAACACACGTTAGAGTAAGGTAAATCATTGATATATCTACAGTTAAAATTATATATACACGAAAAAATTTGTCTAGAATTAAAACTTTTTTTATCAAATGATTGTAAAAATATGTGCCATGTTAATTTTTTACTAAAATTTATTTATGTGCTTGAATTATAATTTAAAATCTTCTTTTTCATTTCTACTTGTCTTCGGTTATGTATTTTTATAGTTACAATTGCAAATTATTACAGATGGGTATTTGAAGGTCACATAAAGTGCCAAAATAATATAATAAAATAAACCTGTTTTTGTTTTGGTTTGGAAAAGATTATCTGTTATCTGTTGTTGCCTCTTCTTTGTCATCGACTTTCTTCTTTCGGGATAATTCTTTATTTTTTAAATGTCTCTCGTAGATTTCTTTCATCTTTTGCGTCGTTTCACCATCACCTTGTTTATATTTCTCACATGTGGCGCAGCTATCTTTTTTTGGCCTATGGAATCCCAAATTAAAGTCAGTACAGAATATCTTTCTATACACTGCCACAGAAACTGGATCAGGTATATTATCTTCTGTGCATTTTTGTATACCTATATAATTCATACATTTTACTTATATTTAGCTCTGATCCTAAATAGAACCTTTTGGTTTTGGACCGACAATAACGACTTTCCATAACAGGAAAAGAGTTAATGTGCTTCTGCACAAAGCATCTTCTAGCTTCAGATGATCCACCAACTTCTTTTTTTTTTCGCCACTCGTATCGTTTTATCAGAGATACAAGACAATGCAGGTATGTTTTCTTGCATACCTAAATATCTCCAGGAAAATAATATGTGTATGTAATATTTCTCCTGGGGTTTTCAGATATTGTATCTTTCCTTCGTTTACTGACCAACTTTGTTTTAAGATATTTGCAAATAAAATCTCTCTGTCTTTCATATAAATCTGTTTTCCAGTAAGAGTGATTAATTATTTCCACATCTTCTGGAAATACTTTTTTATTACACTTAAGTTTACACTTAGAACAATCAACCAATTGGGCCTTCTTCTTAGGAAACACTTTTCCTAATTTATTTTGATATTCGTTTTCAAGATTATTTTCCCTTTTCGCTATTGACTTTTCCATTGACTAGAATTACTATTTCGCTTCCTTTTATTCTTTATTTCTTTATTTTCACCGCTTTCTTCTTTTTCCATTAGTTGTTCTTCATTATTACTATTATTTACTATACATTCACTGTTATGCTCTTCCTCAAACTCATTCATTTCATTAGCAGTTGGTTCGTATATGATATTATTTACATCATCTTCACTTTGTAGATCCTGGTTCTGCACTAACTAGTTGTCCTTCATTGTTGTTAATCCATTCTACTTCTTTCTTCATTAATTTTTCTTCATTATTGCTCTTGATTTTATAAGTAGACTCACCGATGTTATTACTATTATCTATTTCATTACTTTTATCAGCAACTGGTTCGTATCTTATAACATTTAAATAATCCTTCTTTCCTAATTCTTGGTCTGTGATTTTTGATTTTTTTATTAATAAAGAGACGCATGTGAAAAAAATTGACATAACACCTTATGCCATTCTAAAAACTTAGTTTATATTGCATCCACATAGAAGATCAGAAAGACATACGCATTTATATGTCACATGAGACCTTTTCCTTATTCCTAATTTCAAATGCACCTACGGCTTTTAATTTATATAAATTTTAATGATGTTAGAATTTTCTTTTATATACAACCTTTATCCAGTTAACAGTACTCATTATTATTAGGTATAAAAATGTCATTTTCCAAAAAATTTTATATACGACCTTCTGGGTTTAAGAGGACGATATTAGACTAAAAAAATACGAATATCGGTAGTCTTCATGAAATAGGTATACACCTAACATAGACACAACTATTTAGTTTCTTAAATGAATTTAGGTCAGTGCATTATTTATTTTTTATATAATTTAAATGAAACTATTTAAAAAAATGGCTTTATTCTCATCAAAACTAACTAGCTCCAGCAGCTTGAGTTTGACACATGACGTAAAAGGGTACTGCAAAGGTGTAGGCACTTTATTATCGTCATAGCATCTCCTTATTATTCTATCTCAATGATTGGAAAGGTTCTTATGCCTCGCCCTACTTTGTGACATCACGCCTTGTTTATGTGCGATGCACAAAATAGCCAATAAAATAGCGTGGTTTTAAGCTGTCACATTGTTTGCTTCACGGATCTGTTGATCTCTCTTTTTAACTACATGCATTTGTGGAAACCCTGGTGCTCAATCAGCACAGTTCATCGACAGAGATGCGGACGATGTGGTGTACCAATAAAATAGAATTTAACATGTATGAATTAAATTGAATTTAACCATCTGTTCACTACACAAATGAACTAATCGAGAAACCCCTGCTGTCTATATCTTTTTTTGAAGCTATTGATAAATTCTTATTTTATTTCAGATTCGTATATAAAAAATTTAAAACAAAAAGAAAGACAGCAGTTCGCCGATATACAAGCCTACAGGAATGCGTTATTCAACAATACATACGCTCAGAAAATTGAACCAATTTTTTCACTACCCGGACTCCATTTTTTATATTACAACCACAAATATATTAAATTCTATTTCAAACCGTGCGATACAGTCAGCAACGTGAACAAGAAGACGGAATTTTATTGCAAATTGAAGTATATCAAAAAGTTCAATTGGTGGAGCGTTAAAAGGGACTCTTTCCCCGTCAACTATAAGAGAAAAATTTATTCTTTGTTCGACGAAATTGATGATGATCACATTGTTGACGTCATAGTTAGAATATATAAAATATTAGTAACTTGGTCCAAGAAGGAACAGGATTATAGGCAGGATAAATTTAGGGTGAGTTATTATTAATATCTTTAATGTTAAATATTACGTCGTAGTTGATGTAGCTCTGAAATATATTTATTTAACCTACTCGTGGAAATGTAGCACCTTCTATAAATTTACAATATCAATGGTAATGGTTCGTAAACTACTACGGTGGCCTCTTCCTGTTGCTAAGGAAGGGTGCGACATTATTATTTTCCAAAAACTTTTTGGGACTATTATAATTTTGAATTGTTTCATGTTTTTAAATAAATCATGTACTCTTACTGGGAATTTATAAAAAAATCCAAAATTAAAAAATAAATTAAAATGATGATGACTGTGAATATCAGTTCCTATAGTCTATTTTTATGTATGAGAGAGTAATAAAACAGCATTTCTAATGCAAAACTTAAATATTTTTACAGAATAATCTAAATATTTCCTAAAATTGTAATAAATGTACCTGAGCTATTACAAGTTTTGGGTCTTTTATTGGTCCTTTATAAACATATGCTGTACAGAACAATAGAAAAAGGTTTGGACAGGCCAAAAGCCCTGTGTACTAAAGATTACATAGCCGTATCTTAAGATTATTTTCAATAAGTACCTATTTGCCAATTTCGTTTTATTTTAATTCCAAAAATTTCCTACAGTAATCGAATTATAAGTAGATAAATACCTCCCCAACAAATTTCACCGAAAATGCGATTATAGGTTTTCCATTTAGTAAGGAGGTCCAAGTTGTGTATTCTTGACAGTTTACTAAATATCGTTTAGTTGCAACTTGCAAGGTGCAGTGTGAATTCTAGTGTGATCATGGAAAATTTGGAAGGGCCGCGTAAACGACAAAAAATCGGTCCTTTAACAGTTAATGAAAAAACATTAATATTTAATTGTTTTAAACCATTTACAGACAAACATTTATGTAAAAGTGTTGATGACACAGTGGAATTAGTTAGTAGTACGCTTGGTGTTGGGAAATCTACGATTTACAGAGTTGTTAAAGAAGAGAAATGTGGCGAGTTTTAAACAGCACGTAAAGCTCCAGGAAAACCAAAATTTCAATTATAAAATCTTTTGAAAGAAAGACTTCGAAGGAAAGTGCATGCGTTCTTCTTTAGAAAAGAATTTCCGACAGTAGACAAAGTTCTTGCCACGGTTCGAGATGATAAGGATTACCCTGAAATGAGTCGAAGCACACTATGGAAACTTTTAAAAGAAATAGGTTTTCTATGGAAAAAGCATTCCAGAAAGTCTATTTTAATAGAAAGAAGCGATATTGTAGTATGGAGAAGAAATTACCTAAGGACTATAAAAGAAATGAAAAACCAAAGAAGAAATATATTTTATTTAGATGAAACATGGATCAACGAGGGACATAAACCAAATGAATTTTGGCAAGATGAAACTGTTACATGTCGAAGACAGGTTTTTTTAAATAATTTATCTACTGGTTTAAATCCACCATCAGGAAAGGGGCGCAGACTAATAATAGTACACATCGGTAGTTCAAACGGTTTTGTTAAAGGTGGTTTATTGACTTTTGAATCTACTCGTACCGGTGACTACCATGAGGACATGAATGCTGATGTCTTTAAAGAGTGGTTCAAACAAATAATAGATCTCTTTCCTCAGAACTGTATAATAGTAATGGATAATGTAAGTTATCACTCGAGACTTATAGAAAAAATGCCCACAACCAAGTGGTTAAAAAAAGATTTACAGAATTGGCTAAATTCAAAGAATATTAAGTTCCATCCCGGTTCTGTGAGAAAAGAACTGTATCATTTGTGTTCCCTTCATGAAGAAAAATTCAAAAAATATGAAATTGATGAAATTGCAAAAAAATCGTGGGATGACGGTGGTTAGATCACCGCCATATCATTGCGAAGTAAACCCGATTGAACTGATATGGGCACAGATAAAGGGAGAAGTTTCAAGAAAAAATAATTCTTTTAAAATGAGTGATGTTAAACAGTTGTTTTTGGAGGCTGTAAATAATGTGAAGCCTGAAAACTGGGAAAAGGCAGTAAATCATACGATTATAGAAGAAGAGAAAATGTGGAAGTTGGACAATATTACTGATGAAATGATCGAGCCACTCATTGTAAATATTGGTTGCGACAGTTCATCTTCTGATTTCGATTCTGATTTGGATTTGTAGGTAAGAAGTAGTTTTTATATTAAAATTATTATTTATGAACGTAACGTTGTTTAAAAGTCAAAGTTTAAACCTTTATACCTACATAACCCGTTTGACACAATGTTCTTAACATACCTTGTGGAAAAATAAAACATTTTAGAAAAAATTGCACTTTTTTACCTTCAGCTGTTTAGAAGTTATAAGCAGGTTAATTAGGTGAAAATATAAGTGTATGCTCGAGGAATAACTTCAAAAAATATTTTAACTGTCTACTAAAAGAAGTGGTACGCCTATGGATTACGAACGCTTCATTATTTTAATACTCTCTCATACATAAAAATAGACTATAACAAGAGTAAATAATTTATTTAAAAGAACATCAAAAAAATGTAAAAGTATAGTCCAAATAAGATTTTGGACAGTGGCGTAAAATTTAGAGGGGATGAAAGTGTTACTTAGCCGTGTGGTACGGTTTATTTAACTGATTGTTTTGCTGATACGTTTATCTTATAACACCAACAAAATTATTACCGAATTTAGTAAAATTATACTGAGAAATAAAATAACTATAGCCAAATCCTCGTTTGTATTATCAAGAACATAACAAACTCAACGCACTGTATATTTTATTTTGCAGAAATACAAAAGGGGCGAGCTGGAAGATTCAGATATGGATTCCGATGATCAGGATATATTTTTTGACGAAGAAACGAAATCCATGTTAAGAGATAAAAGGAATGCCGTACTTAAGAGAATGTTACCCCCTGACAAAAGAAAAGATTTTGAAAATATTGAGAAGATTTTGTTTAGTAAAAGTACATCTGTAGATTCGGATTAAATACCTAGGTTTTATAAAAAATGATATACACTATTTGTAACTATGATATTTTTTGTCAGTATTGTAGTTTTATTTATATATTTAACTATAGATATTTATAAATTTATATAACTGTTGTCCTTTTGGATTTATATGTTATTTATTAGGTACCCTATTAATGTACTTTCTATACTTATACCTTGGTAGGGGCAGCGTTTAAATTTATCGTACCACAGTACCCCACAGCTTTGTATTTTTTTTGCTAGAGTGATGCGATAATTTTGAACAGCTCTCAGTATATTTCCATTTAAATTAAAATAACTATTAATCTGTAATAAAAATGTTTTGATCTCAAAATGTGTATCATTTTTTTTTTATTTCAAAATATAATCATTGAGAATAAATTATATTAAGAATACATTTTTCTAAATATGACAATGACATGAATTAAGTTACCTAGGTATGCAACTAACAATGCAGGAAAGAAATATGTTAGTATTTTTTTACCAGCACAATTTTATAAATATTCTGATAAAAATTATAGAAAAAAAATACTGCATGTAAATCGTAGCGATATTCCTTTGTATGTAACTATATTTACATAAATAACTTTTAACTATTGCCTAGTAAATATAAAATAATTATTCGTGTATCGCCATCTACTCTACAAGATCGAAACTAAAAAATAGTAATGACTACTAAAAATGAATTCTAGAATTGTTGATGGCAAAGTTATAGAGTTCCCTTGATAGATGGCGCGATGATATACATTTTAAATTTTAAAATATTTCAATCACTATTAGGGCCAAAAATTAATATAAATATATTAATTTTTTTATTTATTAATTAGGTACTATTATTCTCAAGTAAAAAATAAATTTTTAAATTACAATTCTGTTATTTCAAAATATTTTACCTCGTATTTTACTTACCTATCTAAAGTAGATACAAAACAAACATTTCGAAAGGAGTATTTATTTATTTATTTGATTTACAAATTTTTCTTTATATTACTTTCATCACTGTATTTTCTAGAATAGATATTTTTATTTTAATAAAATAATTGTGGATCAAACATGGACGAGATCACTAGTCAGAGCGCCATCTTACACAGTAATGCCGAGAATAAATATCTTGCAGAACACTGTTACGGATAAATGCTTTTAACTACCGTAAGAGCTATAAGATGGCGCAACATCACTTCTAACAAAATATAGTAATAAATAATACAGGGTGATTTATTTTGTTAGTATTGAAGAAATGTAAATATTGACTGATATTTTAGCAAAAATTAGATAATATTCAAAATCTATAAAATGATGAATTGAAATTACATGTTAGTAAAAATTGCTTCATAATGAGGTAGGTATTTATTAAGTAAATTTGTGTCTACTAGGGTTGCCACCTGTCCTTTTTTGAAAAGGACAGTCCTTTTTTGAAGCTTGTTAAAGCTTAAAATGTCCTTTTTACGGCAAATTTTTTTTTACGGCACATATCTTTGGAAGGGACATGGTTTGTACAAAAATATAAAGCACGGTAAAATGATGAGGAGGATTTTTTCTTGTTACAAGCTCGGCGACCTTTTTTTTTTTAGAAATTCAGTAGAAGGATGAGGACTTTTTGTATACCCTGTCAGCATCGTAGTCCTTTATTCACTTTTCAAATAGGTGGTAACCCTAGTGCCTACCTACCCATTTCCTATGTTATAAAATATGGAACTTAATCAGAATCTATGTGCTAGCAGAGGAGATTAGCCAAATATAGAATAAGTTTCTAAAATTGAACAGCAATACCATTAAATTATTTTAACTAGCTTTGGTAAAGCCACGCAAATCGCATCTTAACGTAGGTACCTACTTATCTACCTAGTTCAAGATATCACATATTTTCCCCAAATAGACAAGCTAAATGAAACGTATGCAGACTCACAAGTTTTTTAATTTTTTCGAAAAATCGTATTTTTTGCTGGTATGCATTAATAATATTAGTATTAGTACACAAGGGAAGTAAGTATCAACTAACAACTTCTTATATAGAACATGTGTTTGAGTATAAGCTCTTTATCCCTGTTTAGCAAATTTAAGTAGTGTTGGGGGTAATGTGTGAATTTGTTAACAAAAATTAAAATGGCGATGTACCTAATATGGAATAGTTTGGTGTCCGCAATTTGGAACCCACAAGTAAAGGATTGCCACCTGTTTATATTGCAATGAAAACAGGTCATTGGTACACAGTGAATAGACTACAAGGAATCTTTAGGTTGATGCCATGTCGACTATTTAGGTACAGAAAATATATATTTTGGTTAAAATGTTGTAAAGTTGTTAAAATACGTTATCCTGATATATCCGAAGCAATTCATTTATAATAACTAATTTGTTTTTTCATGTAGCATACAGTAATAAAATAATGTTTTGTGTAAGAGTCCTGTTTATTTTTCCAAATTAGGAACATATTCCGTATTAGGTACAAAATAATTTTTTTATAGAAAATTTTTTCTTAAAATAAATAAATAAATCCTCAAATTAGTCTTCGTCAGCCAGAAGGAACAAGTTTTAATCGTATTTCATCGTTCAACGCCGATGCTGTTGTTTTTTTCAACATTCTTGAAACTTTGTTACAAAAGCATCAATTTACAGAAGACAGGATTTTCAATGCTGACGAGTCTGGAATAACACAACTGTCCAGAAAAACTCTGGAAAAATATACGCCAAAAAAGGACAAAAGCAAGTCGGAATTGCTATTTCAGCCGAACGAGGACAAACTATCACTATCTTATGTGCTTGTCAGTACAGCTGGTTCCTACGTCTCTCCAATGTTTATATATACAAGGAAACGTATGTCTTCATAACTAGAAAAGGATGGCCCAATTGGATCCATTTATTCATGCTCTGACAATGGGTGGTCAAATAATGAGTTATTTCTAAAATAGTTAAAACATTTCCGAAGCTATGTGAAATCTAATGCGATCGACCCGATTTTACTTATTTCAGACAATCATGGAAGCCACATTTCGTTGGAAATTTATGAGTTCTGCAGAAATAGCCATATCGCACTTCTTACAATACCCCCTCATACGTCAAATCACCTTCAGCTTCTGGATTTAAGATTCTTTGGAACTTTTAAAAAATCTCTCTTTGCTGTTTATGATTCCCATATGATTTCAACTGCACACGAGAAGATTACAGTGTACGATGTGGCTCATGTTTAATCAAGCATATATAAAAGTAGCAACTATGGATAAAGGAATTTCAGGATTCCGAGATGCCGGAATATTTCCTTTCAACCCCTCTAAGTTTACAGCAGAAAACTTCGCACCAGCAGAGGAATTTAGAGAATTTACTGTGGATGTAGAATCAAACGAAGGGGAAAGGTCCTTCAGGATGATTTCTCCTCAGACACCAATAGAATCCTTAGCTATTGCGATACCGATACCATCAATATCTGCTATTCCAGAACCGACACCCTCAATAGCAGCAATTTCTGAACCTTTACCATCATGTTCGTTTGCCAAAATATCAGATATTGCTTCTATTCCCATGAGAACAAATAAGAACTTCACGAAAAGAAGGACAGCAAAGAAGCAAAAGTCAGAAATTCTGACTTCTACACCAATGAAGCATATGCTTGTTTAAAAACAAGCAAAACGAGACCAGAAAAATGATACTCAAAACAAAATACGTAAGCAAAAAGTAAATGGACATGGAAAAGAAGAGGATTGACATAAAAACAAAGCGTGTTGAAAAGGAGGAGGGAATGTCAGAGGATAACTCTGATTCATCAGTGGAATTGGATCTGTCTGAAGACAGCAATTCAGATATAATGAATACGCATTGTTCGAAAGGCCTTCTGTGACAAACGAATTATGCATCATATGCGGCGAATTCGGAAAGAATAGAAAACTCTGGTACCGTTGCGTAAAATGTGGAAGATGGGTTTACTGCGAGTGTACAGGTTGGGAATCAGCTAAGGAATATACATGTGATGAATGTATAGAAGGCAACCCAAAAAAAGATAAAGCAAAACGTTATTTATTTAAATAAATCCAAAAAAGCTTGTCAAAGTTCTTAGAAATGTTGAGAATTTTGTATTTTCCTATGTTAATTTCATTATATCATATTTTCTTTTAACTTTTTTTTTTTCATCAGCCTACTCCGAAGCCTCAAACAACATTCACGGTATTGCCCCACTGGTTGTGTAATATTGCCCCACTGGGTGGGGCAATACCGTGAAATGCATATGTTGCATAATTTGAAAATTTTCCAATTCTCCAGTATTTTATCCAAATAACATATACAGGGTGAACCGGATTTAATTTGCGTATACAGAGATCTCGTAAACCGTAAGATATACATTGTGGGTTAAATGGGGAGAAAGTTTTGTATTTTAACGGATAATACAATGGTCCATAGAAGTTCCAGATTTTCTGACTGGTTCCGGAGATATTCGATAAAATCCGAAAAACCTCATTTTCGTTTTTTAAGTCGTGCGTTGTTATAAAAAATACAAAAAAAATTATACGAAGTTTTTGTTATAAATTAAGTTCCCTATAATCTGCCATGTCAAAATTTTTATTACTTTTGTATAGCTAAATACAACGATATGTTACACTTTACCATTTTACTACGTTTCGTCTATGAAAATATCATCAGCTATGTAGCTTCTGATGATACCGTTTCTTACTTGATTAAAACAAGGTAGCTAATTAAATAATAATTAAAAAACAAAAAATGCTTAAAATGTGAAATTTTAAATATTATTTGAAACATAATACAAGAATTATTTAATTACAAAATGGATTACAATTTTTTATCAAACATGATTAAGTACAACCAGCAAACAAGACTAATGAAGAACGAATTATGGTTGTACACATTCTACAAATAATAAAGCTAATAACAAAAACATAAAATGAAAAACAAAACGTTCAAGCAATCTATAAATTCCTATCACCTGATTTTCTGTAAAATCTTTCGCTTAGGTACTTAGGTATTTTAAGACGTTTTGAAATTATTTTTCCGAATCTGTATACCTACCTCCCTAATATCTAGTAGGTATTTGTTTTTTAGAACATGCTTTTAACGGCTATGAAGTATGTATATCGAAAGAAACATTTCTTTAGTAATGTTGTCGCCTATCTATATATCTATATGTACTATGTATACAAGTTCACTATAATGTTAAAATGTACATTAACATTCCAGAACCTATAAGTATACTTACTCAATTTTAAAAATAACAATTAACTAAAGGATAGAATCAATATCATTTAGAAGGTATCATCTACAAGGTAGCATA